CCGAGAAGTGCGGTTTCCGAGCCGAAGCTCTGCCCGCGAGAAGTTCGATTTTTGTAGAGATCTTCCAGATCTACTGAGGATTACTACTTTTGCAAGTCGTAGTGCTGTCCGATCATCTTCTGATCAAGTGAGTGTATACTACCTTTCATAAACACGATAATAATAAAAGTATGATTTGAGTGTATTAAGTATATTGTTGTTTATATGTGTGAATGTGTTGTTACTATCTTCTAACGCATAATTATGAAGTATTTTATACGAAATAAGTATTATGTGTGTGTGCCTCATCTGTTATGTGGAAAATGTATTAATTGAGCATGCTATACAGGTTTTGAAAATATGTATAAAAATATATGTTTTATCTACTAATATGTTGGGTAGAACATGGGTAGATAGTTGGTGTGTAATAAACAGATGAGAGGCCTCGATGTTGTTTTGATCCAGTCATCTAGCGGAATTTAGATGACGACCACGGACTTTTCTAGACAGTCCAGTGGAACGCTAGCAGGCTCATAACCTATAGTTGTTAATGAACTTGGGTGTTCATTCGTTGTATTCCATCCCCCTCATGGTTGCCTTATTTGACTTATATTGCTGAGGAACCCCCGAAGCATGTGTTGTCACCCCGATGAAATATTCTTAGACTAGGTCCCTTGTGTTAGTTATTTTAGCGACATAAAGTGAGAATAACGGGAATGGGTAATTAGGTTATTGTTGGTTGATAATAATTAATTTAATTATTTATTGTGGGTTGAAAACCCTATATACTCACCAGGCTCCCAAGCCTGACCCACTCATTTTTATTTGTATTACAGGAAGTGGCGCAAGGGTGTAAGATGGATGAACCATCAAGTCGTTTTGTTTACAAGTTTGTATATGTATATATTTGTTGAATGACTTGTAATGTTATCGTTTATGCTTATTGGTCTGTATCGGAACATGACACCCCGAGTTTTGATTATATAATGAAAATACATTTCTTTTATGAAATGCTTTGGTAAACATTGTTTTATCATGTTTTGTTTTTGGGAACAAATTCCGCAACTCTTTCAAATCAAAAGGATTTACTCTGAAATTATTTTAAAAGCATAAATGAAAATCGGTCTTTTCTGGCCTAGATTTTGGGGATGTCACATGGACTTAATGGATTAAGTGAAAAACACTTAACCCTAATTGTCATTTTATGTGAAACCCTAACTTCACTTGGGTTTATTATTGGGCCTTTCTATTGGTCCTTGATGATTGGTTTATCAATGGGCCATCCAAGATCAAGCAAATGGACTAGAATAATTAATAGGCTTTGAGGTAAGACCCATATGAGGAGTTGGGCCCAATTTGGAAAATTGGGCCATAGTTTGAGCCTTTATGTTTATGTGATATTGGGCCATTAGAATGTTGAATGTTGGACTGGACTAAATGGTTAGGCCTTATGGTAAGACCTTATAAAGGTTTAGGCCCAATTCGGAAAATTTGGCCATGTGTTGGGCTTTAACCCATAGTTGACTTTTGGGCCTTTAGATTGAGCCTTGGGATTGAATCAAGCTAAGATAGAGGTAAAGCAATCTTTTACCCCAAGCGTTGACTTATGGATATGTGTTGGAACCTAATTATTAATTGGGTGTTATTTTGATGTAAACAAATTCGGTAATCTGTCAGCCATCAGCCACAACTTTATCCACAGGACTTCAGCAGTGTGAGGTGAGTCTCCTCACTTTTTGTTTGGGTTTAAGGCACCAATGTCGGCCCATTTAGGTTTTGTATGATAGGAAGACCTGGGGGTTAGCCCTAGGCACTATGCATGAAAGACCAAGAGGCGGCTCCTGTCATGTAGTATGTTATTATGTATGGTAGGAAGACCTGGGGGTTAGACCTAGGCAATATGTATGAAAGACCAGGAGGTGGCTCTTGGCACACTATATGCTGATTAGCTAAGTAGAGTAGTATGTATGCTAGTTGTCTTTTTGATGCTTGCATGGAAGACCAGGAGGTGGCTCTTGGCACTTGTCTGTGAGACCGAGGGGGTGACCCTCGGCTTGGCAAGAAAGACCATGTGGCGACCCATGACATAATGTCAAGACTATGTGTGGCACATAGCACCTTTACTGATTATGCTATATGTATGGCTCATGGTTATGTATGACAGTATGCGAGTATGTATTTATATGCTAGATAGTATCCGGTTGAAATAGACCGTAGGGATAGGCCAGCAACCAAATATGTTAAGTAGTATGTTGATATGTATAGTATGTGGTATTTGCGGAACTCACTAAGCTTCGTGCTTACGGTTTTCAGTTTGGTTTCAGGTACTTCGTTTTCAAAGAAAGGAGTCGGCTCGATCGCAGCGCATCATACTCTGATATTATTTTATGATAACATGTTTTGATTACGGATACTTTGGTCTTGACATGTGATGTTATTATGAATGTTTTTATATTGTTGGTTTTATAATAACTTAATTAAATAACAAAAATTTGGTCTTGAATTTTGGGGATGTTACAAACATGCTCAAGGCGGATGCTCATGGACGATGCTTATTGATGATGCTCATGGACGATGATCATCGATGATGCTCATCGATGATGCTCATTGATGATGCTCATGGATGATGCTCATAGACGATGCTCATGGTCTATGCTCGTTAATGATGCTCATGGATGATGTTCATGTATGATGCTCATGGACGATGCTAATGAAGTTAAAGGTTATAGAAACGCCCACATAACATTCTGTGATTGGTTGGAAATTAGGGCATCCCCTTCATAGGCTAATTATGGATAGGCCTGGCCCAACAAAATCTGGCTTACCCATTTTTGCCTATAAATAAGCTCATATCCTCATTCATTATTCATTCAACTTGTATGTGTGTATGTGTGCATAATAATTTCAAGAGAACAATCATTGTTAGGTTGAAAACACATCTTTCAGAGCAGTTAGTAAGTAAGAGATATTCTTTTGTTTTGAGACCTTAAATAAGGTGTAACATTTGTGTGTGATTGTAATTGTTCTTGGAAGTTTAATAAAATCCTCTCTCTCTCTCTCTCTCTCTCTCTCTCTCTCTCTCTCTCTCTCTCTCTCTCTCTGATGTTGGTCAACTTGACCTAACCATGTTAAATATTGTGTTCAACTTTGATTTAAGTTTTCAGAAGTTTTATTTCGCAAGTTTCATCGAAGTTTGTTCAACATTTGTCTAAAGAGCTAAACTTGTTTTGTTGTTATAGCAACATTTCGCTAATTTATTTGACAACTAGGTGTGAGACTCATGTATTACATAGGTTTAATTAAAAAAAATAAATATAGAATTTTAACAATTTGAAAAGTTTAAATTTATAAGAAAAATTAGAAAATTTTTGAATTATTAAAATAAATGAGACTTTAATGTATTGAATACATTACATATATAAACTCTTTCTAATAAATATTTTACATATATATTACCTTACACATTAAATGTGGAATTTTAATTTAATAAAATGAAAAATACAATAAAATGATAAGTGGAAAATAGAAAATTTAAAAATTTTAGAAAATATCATGTATCCAAATGATGGAGAATAGGACATGTGGTAAAAAAAACTTTCATTTATTATAGTAGATAACTTGTCGTCATAGACCAATTATTATCCACTTTTAATGATTTTTTTTGTAAATTTATTAATTTATTCTCGGTTTTTTTAGATGTTTTATAAAACTTCTCATGTAATTTTTTTAAACAGATGCAATATTTGAATAGGATAGAAAATCCCTTTAACAACAACATTAATTAGGAAAGTAAAATGAACACTATTGAATAAAATTAAAATTAAACAAATTAAGATTTAAAGGTTAAATATAACTAAGTTTGTAAAAAGAAATGTTATTAAATGAAAGAGGTTAACGGTAGAAAACACAAAAGCCAAAATAAAAATAAAAATAAAATAATTAAGTGGTTAATAATATTTTCGAATTTTCTATTGACATTTTCTTATCAATGTTCTCTTTTTGTAAAAAAACCATTTAAAAAATTGATACATTTGACTTTTTGGATGTACATTGAGTTGTGACATATCTACATAATATTAGTTTATAGTTTACACATCAAATGCCTTACCAATTGAATAGCACATTAACAGACCCATGTCAAATGTGTAAATTTATGAAAACAAAAGTTAATGTGTCTAATGAATCCTTGATATTTTCCATTTTAGGTAAGCAATAATAAAAATTTCTCTGAGATCACCTATCTTTGTTACTATTTTCATCTGAGCATATCTTATTGAATTCCCTACCATTGCAATTTTAAAATGTGTTTTAGAATAAGAGTTATCCACATCATTATTAGGAACACTCACCAACCAATGTGAGACTAGTTTCCTACTCCCACAAAGAGTATTAATTCATGACATTTTAACAAAGAGAAAATAAATTTCTTCCTACTTTTTATGCCTACAATTATTCATACTCACTAAAATTATGATAAATCACTATTTAATTTAATTTTATTTGATATGTTTCTAATATGACTTTAATGAGTTAGTTCAAAAAATATGGAATAATAACACTTGACATAAGAATATTTATTTGAGTAAATTACACGAATGGTCCCTATGGTTTAGGGTAATTTGCGTGTTTGGTCCCTAACTTATTTTTTTAACTCGGAAGATCCCTATTGTTTGTTTTTGTTACGCGTTTGGTCTCTATCTTATCTAAAAAGACTATTATGCCCTTGATTTTTTTGATTTATTTAAATAAACACACCCCTAATCTCACCCCCTCACCTTATCTCACCTACCCCATCATTATTTTCTCTTTAAATAATAATCTTTTTAGATAAGATAGGGATCAAATACATAACAAAAATAAACAGTAGGGATCAAACGCGTAACAAAAACAAACCATAAGGACATTCCGACTTAAAAAAATAAGTTATGGACCAAACACGCAAATTACCCCAAACCATAGGGACCATTCATGTAATTTTTCTCATTCTTGAATTGTTTTACCAATGTTTTGTGATTTAATCCTCAAGTCCCCAATAACCTGGAAGTGAATCCGGGATGTTATGGTTAATAACTTGTTCATCCACTTAAACAAATATTTACCACGACTTTTATATTTTAAAAATAATAAATAAATAAATACACCATTTTTGAATAAATTGTAAACCACTATAATCACTTTGAAGCTAAAAGTATCATCAGTTTGTTGTGGTTCAAAATTTAGCAAATGCATATATTAGCTTTCACCTCTAATCATCATCTATTCTGTGCATTGAATTTTTTGACCTATAAAAATTTAACTTCTTCACCTTTTAAATTTTTGCCTCTGAAAACATCAAAAAAAATATATAATTTATTAGTTTATCGATTAAAAAAATTATTTTTCCCAATTACCAAATTTCTAAAAAGGATAAAATAATCATACCACTAACTTTGAGATAAGATCACAAGACCAAAGTATGTTGCTACACCAAGAAAAACAAGAGACAAGAGTCCCCTGAAAATTATGGATACTATTTTTAGTCAACATTTAGTCAAACATAGCAAATTTTCATGAGTGAATATATATAAGAGTAAAATTACCAAATTACCCCCCATCCAACACCATTACAAGGACAAGGGCAAACTTCTGCAAACTTTTCAGCATCACTAGTGTGAACTTGTCTAGAAATTAAATCCCCATATATATCTGTATAAAAATGTAAATACTTTATTTGTCATTTTGAATTTTATAAATCAACAAATCAATCAGAAAAATATAATGTGAACTTAAAATGATTCATGAAAAGGATCTTTACCATAAATAGAAAAGACACTGTTCATCACACCTGCAATTTTGTATGAGGGGCAAATTTGTAAAAACTTAAGTCAACATTGAGAGATAAAGAGGTCAAAGATGGTATTATTACCAATGAACATTATAATGTATCGAAGAATCCGAACTTTTGTTGTTTCTTGTAAAACCCAAACTATTGCAAGAATGATAATAAATCCTGATGATTATAAATTTATAATATACAAAAAACAGGATTAGATGTTACAAATTTTATAAAAATTATTGGAAATAAAGATTTTGTAAGCACGTATTAGTCATACCTATACAAAGCCCACGAAGTGTCCACTGTAAAAATGATATTTAGTATATTAATCAGTATTTACAATAGTTTTTGTAATTATATTTAGTATTATTAATTAGTTAGAAATTAAAAGAAATATTGTTGCTTACATTTTTAGCAACAAAAAGAACGATTATTAAAGCAGCTGCTAAACATCCTGCAGCAATTCTTGCTGCAAGAAGATTTGTTGATGCCAAGATCAAAACCATTCCCCAAAATGATGATCCTAAATCTGTAAATATACAAAAGAAAATATAAAATTTAAGATATAGATATATAGATATATAGATATAGATATAGATATAGAGGGAATTTAGTAATTTACATCCAGCTGGCAAGATAAACCAATAAACACCACCACGCGTTTGAGTCATTCCACCTTCATCAGCATGAATCTGCATTCCTTCAACCTTGAATTCAAAGAAAAAGTCGATCAAATGATAATTTAGGCAATGATTATTAGTTATCTTTTGGTATTGTGAACGTTGATTCCCTTTTGCATATAGGAATTGCTTACATGGCCACATGTAAGTTTGCAAGCAACAGCATGACTAGCTTCATGAAGAAATACAGTGACAAGCTTGAATGGTAAAAGCACCACTGTTCTCCATAGCTACAAGAGGAAATCAAATGATTGCATAAAAAATAAGAAATTAATAAGCATATGATATGATAAAATCATAATATTAAAGCAACGAGTTGAATTTTTCTGCATCTACACATATTCATAGACTCTTACAGACAGGATCAGATTCAATGTATGTGAAAAATAGAAAATCGTAAGTACATTCGGATTTCTGTAATCATTTGGAATTCAAATCATCATGTGTTATGTTATTAGATCCATCTCTGAATTTTCTAATCTGTAAAACCTGATATAAATCAAGCAAAAATAGCGAATCCGCATCAATCACTTAGACAATCACTTAGTAATTCATCGAATCGACGAGAGAAGCATAAACTAAATTTGCTTTTACAACAACTAAGAGCCAGAATAGAATAACAAACCGCGAGAATGACGACGACGCAGAAGGCGAGAGTGATGAGGAACACTAATTGATCGTGATTACAGCAATTTCTGAGCTCCCAATTGGCCATTTTGTTAATAACTACAGAATTCTTACTGATTATCAACAAAGAAGAAAGAGAATGAAGAAATTATAATATAATATGGTAGTTTCTGCGGGGTTTGGATCTAGAGAAGAGATGGCCATGATCGATGGCGTGAGTCAATGCGCGTCTTCCATACCTCCATTAATAATTTACAGAAATTTTGAGAGAGAGAGAGAGAGAGAGAGAGAGAGAGAGAGAGAGAGAGAGGAAGGGGTGAGTTTGGGTGTGTAGTGTGAAGGACTTGGGGAAGAACAATGTATTTGAGTATTCCCATTGTTTAATGTTTATGCATTGACTTATAATTCAAACCTTTTGTCAGAGTGGGTCCAAATACATTGCATAAAGTTTAACAAATATTTACATCGTTTTTTTTAACATTTTATGTACTATTAATCGACAATAACAATTAAATTATAATTTTACAATAAAGGATTAATAAAAAAATATGTTTATTATATTGAAATGGTTAAATTTTAGTGTGAATTATAATTTTTGATTATTATGTATTGTTTTTTACTTATAGTAAAAACGTGTTTCAGTTTTTTTTATTTTAAACAAAGTACGATTTACTATAAAAAAAAAAAAAATCTGCCAGTAATGATGATTTGAATAATTTAATTGTTGTGCTGTCATTTGATAATCAAACAGCTGTATATGTTATTGAAATGAATGGAAATTAATAATTCTGGTTATTTTTGGTAAGAGAATATATATAGAAGATAAAATACAAATTCACCCCTTTTGTTATTTTTGTATGTAGTTAACCTCTTAAAATAGTCCCTTTAAATATTGAGAGTAAAAATAACATATTCGGAAATGCATTTCCTCTAGATTTGGTTTAAATAAGTAATATATTTTATTTTTAAACAGTTTATATTTACCTTTAATTCTGTTTAAGTTGTAATATTTTAAATATATATATAGTTAGTTATAACTTGTAACACTTATTAATGACAGCTAAAACGAATATTGACTTTAAAAAAAATGATATAGTGATAAAACATTTTGATACTTCCATCTTAAAATAAGATAATTAGATACAAATCGAAGTTTTATCTAAAAAGTTTTGTGAAAAATATTATTTTAAAGTAACGAAATATCTAAAATGGTCGTTTTAACTTCCTCTTTGTGAGCTTACAATTGCATAAACTCAAGAGTTAAAAAATATTATTTTAAGGTAACCATGTATCTTAAATATTAATTTTAGACCCACTTTATTAAATTTGTTAAAAGTGTCTCGTTTCTCCTTTGTAATTATAATCATTCAAAAATTCAGGTTTTAACCGATTAGATAGATATTTTTTTTTCAGGTTTAAACAGATCTTTTTGACTGAATAAACCGAAAAACTATTTGATTTGCACAAAAAATGATTTTTCCGGTAAGATATCTTTCATAGAAAGTACCAAAACCATGATCATTTGTTATCATTCAGCACAGTCAGTTATACTATCAAACAGTATGATTTCTTTTCCAGTCAGTAAACTTTCTCAGGCAAAACTTTCCAAAACAACATTTCCCAAACAATGGAAAGGACCCTTAAGTTGTCAAAACTTAATGGCATGGCAGAAAATCGTTTTATTTTTATCGATTTTATTAATATTTAATAACTACAACAATGTTACATCATTCAACTCAATATTATCTTATATTTGAAAAAAAAATCCAAATATATAGTCCAAGTATCCAACTATTTTAACTTTTTGTTGGTTCATTATGACCCCACAGAGGTCCAATATTTGATACTTAAAAGTTTATGTATAGAATGTCAAAAGGGCTTCTTACTCCCAAAAAAAAATCCTCCTACATATTAATCAGAAAGTAAAATTAAGAATTGTATAAGTGCTTCTCAATCGACAATCAAAACCAACTCCACGTTTGGCCATTTTTTAATTTTTTTTGAACTTTATTTATTATATTTTACTTGTGATCTTTTTGGTTTTGATTACTTGAAAAAACTTAACAATTAAAATTTTATATAATTGGTTACCTAAAAACCGCTTTAACTTGAATTCAACTACAAAGTTGTAAAACCCCACAAAATGAGATAATCCCCAAACAAAACATGAAAACCAACAAAGGATCCGATTTCAGAAAAGAGACTGCATAAAATATTAAGAAAAAAAAATAATAACTTCCAGAATCAGACAATTGAGTAACAAACTTCAATTCTAAAACAACTAATCTTAACATCATCAAACCAAAATGTAATACAAACACAAACATCAAAACAAACTCCTGAATGAACTCTCTAATCCATCTCTGTAGTACCTGAAAGAAAGCAAGCAAACAAAACCACAAACAAAAGGGCATTTTAGTCATTTAAACAACACTCAACTCAAGACATTTTTCCAAACCATGGGGGTGTTTGAAAGTGATTTATACACATATATTTGCCGTATCAAAATCAGAATCTCAAGCTATAGTTTCTTGAAGTTAGTTTTGATGGAGTTACAACTTGAAGGGTATATAAGTAATTTCACCTAATATGTTACTGACGCAACATCTGCTGAAGCTGAAGCACTTGGTTTCTTTGATCAGGTGGCAGCTGATTAACTTGATCAGGTGTCAGACTCATTACCTGCTGAAGTAATGCCTTCTCCATATCTGCAGTTAACTGCACACATGCAAATAAATAATTAAATAAATAACAAGTTAAGAAAAAAAGAAAAATAAAAAAAATTACCGATGGAGGTCGTGGAAGCTGAGTGGCTGAGGTCATATGAGCAGGAAGAAAAGATGATGTGGCAGTGGGTCCCACTGCATTTTCAGGCATCCAATTGGATCCCCTTTCTGGTTGTTGTGAAGGGACTCCCATTTGGTTAAAATCCATTCCTACATGTGAACCTCCTCCCTGTAAAAAATTCATAAAAGGTAATACCAATTTATTATTATTATTATTATTTTTAAATCCAATTGAGATTTAAAAAGAATAACAAAATACCTGATATAACCCTTGAGAAAGCTGCTGATTTGGGCCTTGAGAAAAAGGTGGGCCCATGCTAGTAGGAGGTCTTGAACTTGACTACAAAGTTCATGAAAAAAAAAAATTACAAACCCTAAATAACTCAAAACACACAAAATTACGAGTTTAGCCTTACATGAAACATGGGTTGTTGTGAATGGTGGAGCTGGGGTCCACCCGGGTGCTGGAAACCTGAAGTGGGTCCCATGTGAGAATAGTTTTGATGAGGGAAAGTTTGCATAGAAGGTGGTCTTGGTTGTGGTGGTAGTGGTGGTTGAAGAGGCGGTTGGAGTGGCAGATGAGAGATGTTACTTATATGTAAAGGTTGCTGTAATGGAGTAGATGCGGGAGGTAATGGTGGTGGTGGCTGGGTAGAATAATGAGATGGATGAGCCGCCATTGGTGCCGCCTGAGGTTTGATCTGAGCTCTGCCATGTTGTGGTGGTTGTAATGGAGGTAATGAAGGGGAAACAGATGATGGTGGTGGTGTTGAGATGGTGGTGTGGTTTTGTTGTGGTGGTTGGTTCTGTAGTGGTGGTGCTAGTGGCTGAACTGGCGGTGGTGCTGGCTGAGGGTGGTGGGTTCCGGTAGGTTGAATGTTGGGTATCTCTTGAGGTGGTTGCAGCATTCCTAGCATTATTTGTGCCTGAAGGTATAAAGGAAGAAGAGAGACAAAGTGACAAACATCAGGAATTACATAGATGATAGAACCCTAATCGTTGATTTATTGAATCTGAATCATAAGAACAAATACACAGAAGATATAAGTAAAAGTAAACCCTAGATATTAGATTAGAACAAGACCTGAAAGAGAGCTTTAGTGAGTAAAGGGTTTTGAATCAAGATTTGTCTCGCTTGATCCTGGTTCTGTTCGATCAATGTCTGCATAAGGAAACACAGATAAATCGATTACATCTGTTTGAGTCCCAAAATAAGGTTTTCAAGTTTAGTTTTTCATCTTTTCCCCTAATTCAAGGAAATAAATTACCATATCAAGCTGTTCATTCTCCCTAATCTGACTAAATATGTTGAAATAAGAATCCAGTTTAGTCTAAACTCCTCACATTCACTTAACAACAACAACAACATACAACGAAGTTCTTGTAAAATTCGGGAAACAAAGGAGGAATCGTCAATTTGAAAAGAAAGAAAAAAGACAGAAGAAGAGGGGTTTGTGTTTTTACCTTCATCTGGGACATGATATCGTAGAGTTGATTCTTTGACATTCCGGCGATATTCACCGATAGACCATCACCGGTGGCCTGATTTCCGGCCATTATCACGGTAGTTTGGGGTTTTTTTCCGGGTGATTTTGATTAGGTTATAGCTTTTAGGGCTCTTTCGTAAGAACTGTGAGAAGATGGGGTGGGTCGAAGGTACAGACAGGGGAGGGAGAGCAGACGGTGAATTTGTTTGGACGGAGATACAACGATCTTTAGTCGTCACTCACTCGCCAGTCACCAGCCTTCTGGGTCTTTGCCTCTTTGGGTCTAATGTTCCATTTGAAAACAAAATTTCTGTTAAAAAAAATAATAATAAAAAGAGAGAGAAGAGAAATTTAGGTTTTTTTGTTTTTTTTTTTTTTTTTGAAAAAAAACATTTTCAGATACACACCACTTATTATCTCGTAGTTTGTTTTTTTAGAAGTTTTCAGAGTTAAAAACTTTTGTGCGTGCTCTATTTAGCGTAGCACTTGTACTGCTTCTTCCAACTTCTTTTTATTCTTTTTTTTCTTGCTGAATTTTTATTATACATTGTTGAAATTTTATTCCACTTTTTTTTGTTTATTCTTGTTGAACTTTTTTATTGTTTTTTTATATTGAATAATGATAGATTCTTGACGAAATATCATTATTTTTTTGCGTAATATATTTATTTATTTTTTGTTGAAATATCATTATTTTTTATTGAAATATCATTAATTTTTATTAAATTTTTCATATTAAAAAACTATTTTTAATTTATAAAATTAGTTTATTTTAACTTTTTAATATCTGCAGCAGTATGCAGATATTAAAAAAAAAACAAACAAACAAACAAACACGCTTCTTATTACAGTCTACAGTCGTTTGGTCCACCTCTTCTATGCAGAGGGTTGTAGAGGTGATCCGCATACTTCATAAATTTTTGCTTCAGAAAATCAAACAACACCTAAGTAAACTAACCATTTTTTTGTGTGTTTAAAAAAAACTATTATAATTATAAATACATATAAAAATTTAGAATAGGAAATGAATAGTAATATTTTCCACATTCAGATTTTGGCCACAGTAATTTATGGAGGTTGTCAAATTTAGTCATCAGTCAGCGGGTGATCAATGTAGTGTCTTCTCTATCCACCGCTTTAAGATTGTGTTTGGCACGCCACAGTTAGCTGAAAAGCTAGCTAATTTTTCGAGTTTTTTTAAGTTGTCATGTTTGGCAAGCCAAAAAGTAAGTTATAAGTTAGCTTTTTATGAGTTTTCTTAAAAAAAAATTCAAATATACCTCTTAATTAATTATAAAAACACATTCTTTTAAATGTCATTTTATATCATTTCATATTTTGCAGCTAGCTTTACCAAACATCATTTTTTATCAGTTAGTTTTTCAGCTATCAACTAACTTTGTATTTAACAGCTAGCTTTTCAACTATCACCTAACTTTTCAGCTAACAGCTAGCTTTTCAGCCAGTAAGCCAGGGGCGGAACACGAACAATATAAATAGGGGGCCAAAACATAGACATCCATATTTTTTCTAGATGAAGTCATAATCTAATCAATGTAATTTCCTATATAATTATCAGTTCACTATAAAAATAAAAAATTAAAATTAAAAAAAAAAAAATTGTTGCTCTCATGAATGATATCCAAATGGCAAACTGATACATTTCTAGTTTATAACTTCATATTATAATAAAAATATTAATATAAATATAAAAACAAAACATTAAGTTACAATTAAATAAAATATTACATATGTGGTAGGTGTTTATATTGAAAAACTAATTAAAATAAACATAAAAGACTATGCTAATCAACACTGAGGATTGCAACATTTAAAAGAAAACGGAAACAGTACACTAGAAGACTAGAAGAAAGAATTAAAAACTAATTCAAGTATTATCGTGATGCTGGCAAGTTTTCCCCAAGGCTATTCTCAAATACAATTAAATAATAAATTAAAAGTAATATTAGCAAACAAAACCAAAAAGAAGAAAAGTAAACAAAAGTAGAACTCAAAAGTCAAAAAGCATTACCTTCGTTACAGTTATCCCTATGGTTCCAAAATAGAACCAGACGGAGATGGCGATTGTGGAGGATTGTGGAGGCTGTAAGTGTCTGAGCGGTAACCAAGATCCATGAAGACGAACGATAGAGTGAGAGAAAGAGTGGAGGATATGTGATCGACCAGATCCCATTTGAAGCAACGATTATACGAAAATAGCGAGTTACCCGGTTATTTGATGCATTGTCTCTTTTTCTCATGTTTGATTTATTTATGTTTATATTCTTATAATCACATAATCGATTCTTAAATCTTAAATTGGTATTTGTTTCGAAAATCCAGGGATGCCAATACAGTAATTATCTTTAAGTAACAAATTAATTTATAAAAAATTCAACATTACAATGCTAAAAACTAGGGGGGCCATGGCCCCTCCTGACCCCTTAAGGGATCCGCCATTGCAGTAAGCCCAAACATAGCCTAACTCTCGGCTATCATATGTGGTGTCTTCTCTATCCACCGCTTTAACACTCTAATGGTTTTGTTCCAGGTAACATTTGTCTGCTAAAGACTTCTTCTAACTTCTGTTTCTTCTTTATTCACTCCACCTCTACCCGAGATGGTGATTTCTTTCCTTTCTCAGGGGGTGTTTGGATAGGAAAAAAAGATGTGCTTATTGTTTATTCCCACAATAAGCTAACTTTGAGTATTTGGATAAAATCCAGCTTATTAAGCTAAATAAGCTAATTTTAATAAGCATCTCTCCCCATGCTTATTGCTTATTCCCACCACAAATAAGTTAATAAGTTAATCCAAACACCCCCTCACTCCTCAAATGTCGATTTCACGTCTCTTTTCCCGTCGATTGTACGTTCACCTCCATTCCACCACCGCTAACTTTTTCCACTCACATTGCTACGTTTTTGTAACAACGATTTCGATGACATGTCGACGTGCCTAAAATTTTTGTCGGTGATCGTTTCTCTTTCTCTTCTCCAATCTACAAATGGGTGTTGTTATTGGTGGGTTGTACACTCACTGGAAGCAACCCCAATCTCTTATGTGAAGATCATCTAGCGATTTCAGTTATCAGTATGCTTACCGATTTCAATTATCGGAGGAAACAACGAGAGTACACATTATGTGTATGTGTTCTTCGATTTCAGTCAGCGGAAACGTGACTTTTCTTGGTAACATGTTTGGACCGCCTCCATTTCACCGCCAAAATCAAATGTAGCGGTGGTGTGTACGGTAATTCCGACCCCCACTATATTCGTTGGTTTAAATAGGATGTCGAAAGATGAATGTGATTTGTACATTCAATCCATTGAAAGTCAGCAACGTAAGTTAATTGATTTTGATTTGTAATTTAGGTTTTCTTCTGATTTTAATTCTGATTAAGGTTCATTCTCTTTCAGATTGTTATTTTTTACTCCAATTATGATGAACACTACTTACCAGACATTGGAAATGCAACAACGTAAGTTAACAATTTTTTGGCTCTGTTTACTCGATTAGGCTCTATCTCTTTCAAATCGTTAATTTTGACTCTAATTGCCTGTTTATGTTTCATAAATTAGATTTCATACGTCAATTCTAATTAAGTAGTTGGTATGAAGATCAATCAAAATCAACTAAAAAGACAATTTGGGTTTGTCATGGTTATGTAGGAAGCGATTAATAACATTTCTTGAAAGTTGTATTTTCTTCCCCTTGGAATAACTCATTCAAGAAATTTTATGTTTCAAGTGTTAATGGTGATGAACAATGATGGACATTCCATAAAAGCATATAATTGAAAGAGTGATTCAGCTTTATATCATATAGTTTATACATCAAAATCACTTAATGACATTGTAGTGAAAACCAATTCAAGCACAGTAGAATTGGTCAACGGAGAGGAGATTGGTGAACAAGAGGACCATGTAGCCTCTGAACAAAAACGATTAGCAAAGATTCGTGATTTTTGTTTTAGACTTTCATATGGCGAGTTCTTCTTATTGTTATATCTAATGAGTCTCTCATATCATTTATTAATATATATATATATATATATATATATATATATATATATATATATATTCATTTTATTCTAAATTATGGGTGTGTAACACCTATTCCAGGTATCATTTAATTTATAGAAAAATTTTAGGGTTTTGTGCTTGGACTTGGCGAGTTGGGGAGCTCCAACTCGTTAAGTATAGTCATTTATGAGGGTGTAGGGTTTAAATCCTACTCGGCGAGTCGGAAGACCTCGACTCGCCGAGTAGGCACTGTAACGAGAAACCCTAATTTTCAGGGGTCTATACCCTATTTAAAGGACTTATGGCTCATTTACAACCTCTTCCATCGTTCCTACAGCCAGAGAAACCCTAGTTTGAGCCTTGCACCTTCTTGAGAGAGAAATAGAGCTTTTGAGAGTGATTTGGTGTGATTGTGAAGATTTTGGAGCTTGAAGAAGAAGGAGCAAAGAAGGAAGCAATAGATCTAACATCCACCCTGTATTGGTGACCATATTGAGGTATAAAGTCACTATCTTAACCTTTAGTTGCTTAGATTTCTTTTCTTGGATGTAAATGGTCACTTTTGGTGCCAAAAGGGTGTCATCTTCGGATCTGGACTTGTCACAAGGATATGGTTCCAGATCTGGAGCCCTTTAGGGCTTCAATGACATAAAGTTGCTCACTTTATTTCACTTAGGCTTAGTGATCTAAAAGAATGTTGTATAGTTCGTTAAACCGAGAACATGCATAAAAAGAACGCCCAAATCTGACTTCGTATGACGAAGTTATGATTTTTCGAAGTTTCGGCTTAGCAGTATACAACCCGAAGTTCGAATATGAGATCGAGCGATATTTAGCGGAAAAAATCTAAATGAGAATTGAAGATCTCGTAGATAGTAGTCCAACGGAAGAAAAACAGATGAAAACGGACATTGGATGAAGAAGTTATGAATTTCTAATGGAGTTTTCATGTCCCGGCCTACTAAAAATAATATAAAAGTAATATATTTATAATATATTAAAAATAAATTCAAAATTATCTGATGGTGTCTAAATAAAAGTTGTAGATCTTGTTTTTACCTACGCTTCTATATAAAGAACGTTGAAAACGGAGCTTCAATGCGAAAGTTATGACTTTTTGAAGTTCCGGGCGCGAACCCCAAAGTTGTGGCAGTGGCCACGACATGGAAATAGTGCCCATGGCGTGGCATGTTTTCTAACGCCTCCTGGAGTCTGCCAGACCCAACTTGCGATGAAGCATGCAGTGACGACCAAGCCCATGATGTGGAAAAAGTGCCCATGACATGGAAAACGAGAAATT